AATTGCCTTTTAAAATGGTGTGTTGGGTTTGAAATTGGCTGGCAAGAGCATTGCAGTGAAGGCACAGAGGAGGGGGCGAGCTGGGGGAGGCGGCGGTGGAGGTGTACGTTAAAGAGGGCGCAACACCTTTATTTTCTTGGGGAGCAGAAAAGGTACAGTTGGGTAGTTACGTTTAAACGAGGATAGCATGACAAAGAACAAGAGAGAGAGGGGGGTGTTTAGCAAGAAAATTCCCTAGAGGGGAAGATTAAAGTGAACAGGTGCTGGAAAAATGTTTCTGCATATTAGAGCTTAATTAGATTTGAAGATGAATTCCAGATGGGCTAATTATGTGTGAGTTGTTGCAGGTTATATCTTGTAGGGGCAATCTTGTATTTTTGGAAGTGGTGATTTAGTTTGATTGGATTTGATTCCTGCCTCTAACAGTATCTTCTCCATCATGGAACGGCCTCCATCATGAAAGGGGCACAGGAGCCCCTTCAGCAGGTCCACCTTTTTGAGGCCCTCTTGTAGCTCGTAGATTCATGGAATGCTGTGTATGAAAAGCAAGTGATCCTGGGCTGGGAAGGTGGCTCAGTGGATATCCTTTCTGATAGGTGAGTTGTTGTGAATGAACACCTTTTTATTGTATTGTAAAGATGCTGTACAGAGAGTTATAGTTACATGATGGATGAGTAAAATTCCATTGTGTATATGCACCACATCTTCTCGATCCACTTGTCTGTTGTCGGGCATCTGAGCTGTTTTCCACAGCTTGTTTATCATAAATTGTGCAGCTGTGAACATGGGTAGAAGTCTAACACTGGTATTGCTTTATATCATTGGATAGTTCTATGTTTACTTGTTTACTTTTGGGTTTTTTTGGTGCCAGTAGTGGGGCTTGAACTCAGGGCCTGGGCTCTGTTCTTGGTCTTTTTTGCTCAAAGCTAGAGTTCTACCACTTGATCCACAGCTACACTTCTGGCTTTTTGGTGTTAGTTGTGGATAAGAATCTCACAGACTTGAACCACAGTTCTCAGATCTCAGTCTCCTGAATAGCTAGGATTACAGGCGAGAGTCACTGGCACCCAGCCTGTGTTTAATAACTTGAGGAATCTCCAGACCACCTTCCAGAAGGCTGCCCTAGTTCGCACTCCCACCACCAACAAGAGTCCCAAGGTTCATTCCCCACCCACATTTGTTCCTGTTTGTCTTCTTTTTTTTTTAATTTTATTTATTTTTTGTGAACACACTGTACAGAGGGGTTACAATTACATGGGCAGGATAACGCGTACATTTCTTATCAAGCATTGCAGCCTCCTCCTTTGTTTACCCTTCAC